ACACTAAATTGCCCCCTAGTGTGCAGGTTAGGTGGTTGGGTTAGCCATGGTAAATGTGGGTTATGGGAGTAGGGTGGGATAGAGGGTCAGTGCAGACTCGATGGGCTGAATGATCTCTTTCTGCACTGTAGGGTTTCTGTGATTCTAACCAGTTGTGATCATGGTCACATTTTCCTCATGTCAGCCCACACATCACCATGTGCATTCAGCTCAGGCTTTCATGCTGTTTTTGTGGGTTCCTACTCAGACGTTTTTTGGTTTATATCAATTTCACAATGTATTTGAGGATTGAGAATGAATTTGTAAATATAAATTTTCCAAGCAAAATCCCTTGCAGATTAGGAACTGTTTCTGCTGCTGGCATCATTCACAAGGATCAGGAAATTAAAGGTTCAGTCACATATCTTACAGGAACACAGATTGTAATTGCCAGGAGAGACAGAACAGCTGAAAACTCTTTTCTCAAGAGAAGAGGAGGCTGAGAGTTAACCTGATACAAATTGGAAGCTTTGTCCCTGTGAAATGAAATCATTGGATCTTAAACAAAAATGGGAATCAATTCTGAGGAAGAGTGACTCGACCCAAAACATTAACTCTGATTTCTCTCCGCAGACAGTGCCAGATCTGCTGAGCTTTTCCAGCAATTTCTGTTTTTGTTTCTGATATACAGCTTCTGCAGTTCTTTCAGTTTCTATTAATTGAATCTGAAGCATTTTTCACTACCCCGAGGTTATCAAAAGCACTGTCTAAATGTGTATCTCTCTTTCTGTCTGTCTATCTGAGTTAACAATCAGATATCGAGGTCACTGACTGAATGTCTTCACAAATCCCCGATTTAATCTGCCTCCTCCACACTGTCAGACCCCTCACCACTCGCTGGTTCATGGAGAAGCTCTGTTGTTAGATTGGGAACTTCTTTGATGTGGCCTCTCCTTCTGCTTCTGCCCACTTCCCAGTTCCCTGCGTTAATACCAGCTGCCTCTCGTCTGCCCAAATGTGTTTGTTAAAGAGCTTG